GTTCGAAGAAGTTCGAAGTAATTCGAAATATTCATTACCATCGTGTAGAGCATCTCTTTATTAGTTGTAATCCAAATTTTCGAAAGAATATACCGAGTAGTTTACAATATATGATTTTTTGAAGTTAAGGTTTGCTAATCAAGCATTGCACCAAATAGGAGAAATGCATGTTAATCTTACTTAAAATTGCATTTTTATAAAAGTATTTGTTTTAAGACTCTTCTTTTGTTTAAAAATGGTCAATTGCACCTTCTTTGTTCTAATTAGAATAAACAAAAACTGTTTGTTTACTTAAAACAAATAAAGAGTATCTGCGTACTAATTAAAGCAAATAAAGAGTTTTTTTGTTGTAAAAATGATCACTGATCATTGAGCAAAGAAGATCTAGAAGTTTAAGGCACGAGCCTTAAATATAAGGGCAAATCTTTTTCAAATCAAATCACTTTCCATTCAGATTTCGACTTGTTCACTTTGCTCTAGCTTTCTGAACTATTTTTGAAAATGTTCTAAGCAAATCCTTTCTCATCACTTTCGAGTGATGTTAAATGTAATAAGTCATCTGATTTATTTTGTTGGTACATGCTACGATTAGCTTCAGTTAGCCTGTAGGTAGTAGTTGTTGTGATAACAGTTGCACACGAAGCAACTGACTTATTACATTCAACATCAGTAGAAAGTGATGAGAAAGCATTTGCTGAGAACATTTTCAAAAAAATGTTCAGAAAGCTAGAACAAAGGAACAATTTAGAATCTGAATGGAAAGTGATTTAATTTGAAAAAGATTTGCTCTTATATTTCAAGATACTGCTTTAAACTTCTAGATCCTTTTGCTCAGTGATCAGTGATCATTTTTAGAACAAAAAAAAACTCTATTTGCTTTAATTAGTACGCAGGTACTCTTTGTTTGTTTTAAGTAAAGAAACAGTTTTTGTTTATTCTAATTAGAACAATGAAGGTGCAATTGACCATTTTTAAGCAAAAGAAGAGTCTTAAAAGAAATACTTTAATAAAAATGCAATTTTAAGTAAGATGAACATGCATTTCTCCTATATGGAGCAATACCTGAATAGCAGACCTTAACTTCAAAAAATCATATCTTACGAACCACTCGGTATATTATTTTGAAAATGTGGATTCTTACTAATAAAAAGATGCTCTACACGACGGTGACAAAGAAAAAAATTTACTCGTAGGGTTTTTCTTAGATAACTTCGATTTGCTTCGAAGAAAAATTTGCCAATATTAAATTTTAAATTGCAAATCATTCTAAAGGGCAAGTCCATCCCTTTAGAATGATCTTTATTTGAAGAAAATCGGCCTAATAGTTATTGAGTAATGATTTTTTAAAGTTAAAGTATTTAAAATTCATTTAAATTAGAAAAAATTATTTAGTTCAAAGTGTGTGGACTTTTTGAAATTTTGTTTAGTGCATTTGATTTGTCTTACTGAGATGAACAAAATGATATATATAAAATTTGTCAAGTTGTCACGACATGACTTTTTTTTTGTCGGCCTGTGTAATAACAAAAATTGCACCACTCAGAAGCTACAAAACAAAAGTATAAAGGATATTAAAAAAAGTGAGTAAATTCCAACTTTTAAGCGTGGGTTTTGAAGCTTTAAACCCAGAATTTACAATTTGCGTTGGTTTATATATTTTAGAAAATATAGTAAAATAAAAAGCCTGTATTTTATGAAGAATTTTAAATTTAAAAGTAGAAACTTTATGTTAAATTTTAGAAATTTGGATCAAATGATATTGTTTTAGCAATTATTATATTTTATAGTTACAAACCAAGAGGCGAACAGATTTTTTTCATTAATTTAAAATTTCCACCTCAAATTTTTAATTCTGCAAATACATTCGTCTACCTACATACTTTGTGTGCGATTAATTTTTTATGTTTCCTTAGTAGTTTAAAACTCTCTTTTCTCGAAATATTATGCGAGTTAAACAAACATTGACAAATGTAAATTTTTAAGAAAATTAATAATTTTCTCTTTTTCAGGTCCGTATCATGCGTGTGCCGGTTTACTTGGTATGCGCTGCCTTGGTTGTTGTTGTAAGAAGTGAAGACCGTACGAATTATTACGGAGGAAGATATTTAGAGCCCGTCGATGTAGCTGCTGATCAAGAAACCGTCAGTTATCTCTTACCAAAATTGACCGCAAAATACAGACCTGACAGTGAATGGAGCGGAGTTACTGATCCAAGATTTTACGTACTGACTGAAATGGAATCACAGAACATCGAAAATCAGGTAAATAACTAATAAATCAATAAAAATCGACTTTCTTACTTACTGAAAAAATTACTATTGGACGGAAAATTATTGTTTTTTGCCAATTATTATTCAAATAGTGAGAATAAGAGTGTTTCTAAAAATGTAAAATATAAGTGTGCCACGAGAAGACTTTGTAAAATCCTGTAAGTATTTGTTTGTAAATGTGAATGTTCATTTAGAAGATTGGCATTTGGAGTTGTAGAACTAGAGCGTTTTTGATAGCATGTTTGTTTCTCTTTTACACATTAATAAACACTCAACTCCAATTATTCACTACAAATTACTATCAAACACACAATTAACGAACTTTTAAGTTAATTGATCCAAACTATGCAGATTATTTTACAATACAAAATACATCAAACAAAAATTTAAACACATAACATGCACAGCATTATTATCAATTAGTGAACACAAACAATACAGTAGAAATCGAGTAGAAATATTTGTTTTTTATCCTTGTACCTACGTTTTTTCCAACTTCTATGATTTATTTTTTAATTTGTATTTGTAGGTGCCTTCCGAACGAAACATCCAAAGACGGAGTCCCACAATTTCCATAACCGCACCAATCGATGTTTTGCGAAAAACTTGGGCAAAAGAAAACATGAGAAAACAAATGCAAATAAATCGAGAATACCTCAAGAATTTACAATAAATTCAAGTGAAGACATCGGTGTGAGAAACAGTGTAGTTTTTATTGCAAAAGCCCTTCAATAAATGCTACAGTGTTTAAATATTTTAACACAATCTTGTGGAAAGTATTTTTGCCCATCAAGTACACTATGTGCTGATAATGCTAGTCACTTGTAAATTTAAGATATAGTAATTATTGTACTTTTTCCATTATAAAACAGTATAAAACTATTCAGTATTTTCGTTGTTATAATGTAAATTAAATACAACTCTAGTCAGTGTGGAATAAAAAAAAACGAGGATGTGTGTTTACAAGTTTGATTTAATTTACATTGTACTGTATCCAGTTTTGTTCTATTGTAGCGATGAATGTATTTATATATTATTTATTTTATTATGTTAATTTTGTTACAAAAACAATAAATGTATAAAAATAAAACACCTGATTTCACTCATCTCTTATTTACTAATAAAAATTGAAGCAACTTTAAAAGCAATTTTTATTTCATAATTCTTTCACTATTACAGGTATTACTAATAGAAAATGACTGTTCCCGGTAGTTTCCTCTTTTTCAGGTAAATTAAAACGAAAACTTTTTAAAAAAGTGATAAAGTGAAATATATTTGATTACATTAAAAATCTTCTAGAAAGCGTTTTTTTTTGAACATATTTCTTAATTCAAAAATAATAATGCATGTAATAATTCTGGCGGAACAAGAGTAACTATCTAAATTGGTAATACTGATTTTTTTAAAATGATATGACCTTAATTTTTTAATTTTGCGTTCTACAACCAACTACTCTCCACTCCATTTTTTATAATTTTAAAATTAATTATGATGCACTTAAAATTGATTAATGATCCATGAAATCTGAGAATTTCCAAACACAGTCTCAGCAAATTTGCAGTCTATCGACTTCTCGTGAAAGGGATTTCAGAGATCCACAAATCTTGTAAACAAAACCCTGATACAATCAGCTTATCCCTCTCTTGTCTAAATAAACCCGAGTTAGCATAATTTGTCCATCTACACCATAAAATTCGAATAAAATAACTCAATTAGTCGTAACAATTTCTTATTCAATTTTCAATTTGAGTAAACTTGTCTCCTCAAATAACGCTAAGTAATCCCCGAATATTTGCTAAATTAATTGTAACTTGGTTCAACTGCATCTTTCTAGTTTGAGTGGCTTTTTCTCGTACGAAACTTTGAATTTAATTAAAGCAGGGTTTGTGCTCGTAATTTATGTGTTTAAATTTTGCAGAATAAATTGAGTCCCGAATCCCGAAGCAAAAGAGCAGGTGCTTTGGGCGAATCCGGAGCTTCGCTCTCGATTGTGAATTCGTTGGACGTTCTTCGCAACAGACTATTACTGGAAATTGCAAGAAAGAAGGCCAAAGAGGGGGCTAACCGAAACCGACAAATCTTACTGTCATTAGGAAAAAGAGCATTTCTCCAATCTCGAGCTTCCGGAACTTACGACAATAATGTATAAATCAAGCGAAGAATTCATCGAATTAAATAAGTGTCGGTGAAATCTTCAATACCTATTGCTTTCTTTCTTTACTTCAGTCACAACTAAAACTTTTCGAAATAGTTTAAATTTAGTTCGAATTGGAGAAATCAAAAGTAGAGCAATGCCAATCTGATGATGTAAAGTAGTACTTAGTATAGGTCGCCTCCAAAATGACCAAAAACCAACCAAAATTGACTTAATTTTATTTCATAACGTGGAATGGTAATTCAAACAACATCCGTGAATACGAATTTTGTTCGTTGAGGCACCTGTACTGTTTTATTTATTTGCTTGTGAAATGTTATGTTGACGCTTATCGGCCTATACAGTATTAAAAAGCATAAATGTACCTAAATTAATCTACCTTCTTGAAACTTATATAACATGATTGAATGTTGATATTTTTTTATTACGTGAAATAAGTGTCCACAATGTTTGTAAGGAGAGGGTTTGATCTGAATGATGTATATTTGTGGACCTACAACGACTATTTGTTCACATCTGTACTTTCTTAGTAGCTAAATAATTACTAAATGTTACGTTTAAAAAGACACAAAATATATAGTATATTTTATAATGTGTTTAAGAATTACATTTTTAAAATGTAGATGTCTTCTGTTACTGATGTGTATCATATAATGTACAAAATAAATGGAATTAAAAAATAATAAAAAAATAGCGCATTAATTTGTTTTCATGTCACGCTAAACATACAGTACAAAAAAGTAATCCCCGATTTTTAGAAAAATTATTTTAGTTTAAACACAAATCGTTTATTTTAAAATCCATTAACATAATAACAAGTGTATTTCACATTATCCGTGAAGCACAAAATACAACTGGCAAAACTGTAAAAATTGAATAAACAATATCAAAAAATGCAGGTTAAGTACTTAAGTATAAAATTAGAACACAGAGAGCGACAATAACTATGTGATGTTGCCAATTGTACTTTTTACTTAATTAATTTAATTTGCCAAATAAATCGTCATATTAAGCAAATCCAAAATAGGCGAAATAAGTAAGTAACTATTTTTTGTACAAAAATGACATATATAAATAACTTCATAAATGAATTTTTTCTTCATTATATTACTCATCCCAGTGAAAATGGTCATTGTTGACTTTCATGTAATACAAATAACTCTTCCTCAGTGCAAAAAATAAAGACTAAAAGTAAATGCTTTGGTCCTAGCATAAAGTATAAATCAAATTCTAATTTTAATAAAAAAAGTGGCATTATTTCTCTGGTTTAGTTTTAAAACAAAGATACACATTCCAGAATAACGCAACAACCTGAGCATACAAAACCTGATACTGCAACGGTACAAAATAAAAATTAATCGTCTGAGCTGCTGGCCACAACTTATAATTAGCAAGTAAAATATCGGGATATGTTTCTCTTATCGCTCGCTTCACCTCCTGCACTGTTTTTCCCTGCAACGCCCCAACAGTAACCATGAACCCCAAAAGACAAACCGGAGCGAAACAAATCTGATCCAAAGCTACTTTCGTAAGAGCGACACGTTTCCCGCTTTTCCCCACATACTTATCCAAAACACCGTACCAAATCGTTAATGCAGGTCCCTGTAACGTGATTGTTGATTTTCGAGGTAAGTACACATTTCCCTTTTTTGATTACTTACGACGTAAAAGGCCCCCACGCTCACGAATTGAAGTGTTCTTTTGTAATTCAATTTTTTCACGGGCTGTTCCTCGATAAAAACTTGGGAAATCACGTCCCCGGCACCCATGAGTACTCCAGTTTGTACGGCTTGAGTCATTTTGGGGTGCCGAATCAGAAAAGTCTCGTAGACCTTAAATAGCCAACGCATTTTGTGATTTTGACTCGAATTTGATGCAATTTAAGCCATTGAGAACGAAAACTTCTGAAATTGTTAGGTTAACTGTCAAAATCACCTTCACGTGTTCGCGGCCCACTAGATCGTGCTAGACGCACGTGCTGGGGCTGTGGTATGATTCAAGGATATAATAAAAATAGAAAAATTTGGATTTTTCCATAATTGGAAGGAACTAATTATTAAATTATTGGTCTTATCGATTAAGGAAATAATTTTATTACTTGAAGTTTACTCGAGTTTGCTGATGTTGGTTTTTTGATAAAATCCTGGTTTTATTCCATTTTTGAGTTTCTCGTGCAATAATTAATTTAATTGAGAGTTCTTCAAAGACTAGTCTGTTTTTTAAAGTCGCGGTCAATTCATAGTGGCCACATCCCTGTGTAAATTTGTAAAAATTGAGTTGTGTAAATCCGACGTTAAACATCCAATTGTTTTTTTAGTGACATAGCTATCAAAAATGACAATTCTAAAAAAGTCGGGTTAGTATACTTCGCATATAAAGTCTATTGCGCCTGTCACTTTTGACAAAACCAACACAATAGGAATGGCGGGCCTAAGTGCTGCCAACTTTGAGATAAATTAAATGGCCACTATGAATTGACCGCAACTTTAAACGAAAATTCAAATAGTCTTAACGTTGGCACCACTAGCAAAGCAAATCATTTATAGAGTAATTTTTATAAAGGAAGTTGGCAGTTCCTGTTTTTGTTTTAATTTGAAATTAATGTTATTAAATGTTAGCAAAAAAATCGTCTTAGGGAAGGAAACACAAAAACGGGGACAAATTCGGTACCGCTAACAGTTTTTGGAAATTTGGAGACGAAAAGTTTGTAAGCAGAAGTCAGAAAAAGACCATTAAATTTAGATGCAATTTGTAATGCAGGTTTGTAAACATTCGTAATTTTTTGCAAGAAATTGATAAGAATACAAAATAAATGTCTGATTGCATCATTATTAAGGAACGAGTTGAAAAAAAAATGAAATTAAATCAGTTGAAGGAAAGGAATTTTGAAGATGCATCAACTTCCAGTTTACTTCAATAAATTACCCAAATTTGTTGCCAATTTTCATAATACATGCTTGTATATTTTGCAAAATTTTTTTTTTGTGTATACAGGTGCGCCAGAACTCGCGCTTCAGGTAAAAATTTCAAGTAAGATGAGATACTAGGGACATGGAAAAAATGTTTAAAAAATTTTGTCTGTCACAAAATTTTGACATTTATTTTTTGACATTTCACATTTTTTATGTCTATACGCGCTATTAGTGTGACGTCAGCAAGGTACGTGACTGTACCTTTGAAGCTAAACAAATAAAAGTTTATTTCTTGAATCCTGGACGTGTAGGGAGATTGTTTCTAAGGAAATAGTTGCTATGAAAAATGTGTGTCGTTTCGTAATGGTTTTAACAATTGTAGTCAACATTTCTGTAATTTAATCTGTTCTAACCTCACTTTCTGTGTACGTCAAAAATATGTTTACAGCATTGCCAGAATGTTGCAAACAACAGGAGTGGATAGGTCGTACCAAAACAAAATAAAATATATTAACATTCACATAATGTGTATTTGGCTGAGAATATAAATTATTATTTGTTTACAAGTAAATATAAATATCTAGTAAAAAAAATGTAGTATCAATTTGGTACTCTAGTATCACAACTGGCAACACTGTATGTTTAGCTTCAGTACAGTCGCGTCTGTGACGTCACCTCTAATAGCCCGTATTTAGTGATACTGATGATCTTGTATATGTTTTTTTACAATTATTTAATAAAAGTAAAAAAAAGCCAATAAAAGCCACAAATAACATTGAACAGAATTACAATTTAAGATACAGCTTCCTTGTTTCCTCTTCAATAGCCTGTAGTAAAAAAACTTGGAAAATTATTTTTCCAACAGAAATAAATAGAGTCAAAGTGAAAAATTTAAACTCACACAAAATTCATAAAGTCCAAATTTTGACAACATTTCAACATGAAACATAACCATAATTTATAAATAAAATTTGTAGAGACAAAAACAAAAGCAATCAAAATTTTTCGCTTTGGAGACAATAAGCTGCTACCAATTTTTTCACCAAAATTTTGACTTGGTGATTTTGGTTTAAAAAAACTGATTTTAAATTAAATTTGACACATTTGACATTAGGAGATTCATCATTTCAAAAATTCTAAATTAGCTTCTGCTGGATTTCAGGTAACTTCATCTCATAATGTCCTAAATCTTTCCCGATGACATTTAACAAACTCTTTTTAAACATCTAAAAATGATCGGCAGACTTTTCGCTTCAAGCACCATTTTTCGAAGAATTTTTACAAGTTGTCGGCCTTTACGTATATGCACTCTGTCTAAATTTACAAACACACCAAAGCTCTTCATTGTTACTTCTTATCCAATTTTCTCGAAAGAGCGCTCAAGAGATACCATGGAAAACTTTGATTTGCACTTAAAGGCAGCTTGCGAGAAGGGTGAGGTAGCAATTACTCAACTGATGAATTCGTTTCGCGAACATATTTTGGAAACAAGTGAAGCATATAAGGAGTGTTTGCAAAAACAGATAGAGATTATTGATGAAGCTACCAAAGTGGGTGCTATGTCGGCAAAATGGGATGAGTTGCCCGAATATAGAAGTATAGCAACCGATTTGAGTCAACAATTGAACACTTTTGCTGCTACAGTTCACACTATTGGAGAAATAGCCAAAAATGAAACTTTGCAATACATCACGCAACAACAGAAGCAGTTTCAGTTGATCGGCAAGAAGACCAAAGAACTGGAAAAGTTACTTACGACTCAAATGGAAGAAATAAAAAAATTAGAGTCAAAACTATTAATCAAGAGTCGGGAAAGTATACAGAAGTCGAAATAAACTATTCATAAAATGTACTTTTTAAATAATAAAAATCTCATTAATGTCGCATTTTTTGTTTGTTGCTTTCTATTTCCGCTTTTTGTTACAGAAAGTATGAGCACTCAAAAGGGTAACACCCAAAGGAGTCGGTCCCAAAAACACCAAAATAAGACAGCTTTCAAAAACACTCTCCACGACACAAGTCAGCGTACAAAACTCATAAACAATGTCCAAATTAGCGATGTTTGCGTTCGTTGCAAGGAAATAATCGAATGGAAAATAAAGTACAAGAAGTACAAGCCGCTCACACAGCCACGAAAATGTGTCAGGTGTGAGCAGAAAAACGTGAAGAAAGCGTATCATGTGATGTGTACAGACTGTGGGAAAAAATTCGGTGTTTGTACAAAATGTTGCGAAGCGAAGGAAGTTATTACGACAAAACCGGACGAAAAAGAACAACTTAAACTGGACAATGAAATGAAGAATTTGTTACAATCGCTTCCGGAGAGGAAGAGAAGGACGTTTTTGAGGTACATGAGTAAGAAAAATGAGGAAAACTCGGAGAAGAATGACGAGGAGAAGAAGGAAGATTTGAAGAGCAAACTCAACGCTCTTAAAACTGATGACGATGAGTTGAATGATTTGAGCGATTTTGATGACTTTGATTCATCGGATGAATAAGTTTTGTAATATACTGAAGAAATATATAATAAATTGTTTTTTTTTATTTGTTTTTTTTTTTTTAAATTTCCCGCTGACTTGACGTCTGTCAAAAATCAAAACGCTGTCATTTGGTTGTCAAAATATAAGCGGTGTTATTTTTACATTTCCATTATTTTACTAATTAAAATGAGTGCGAAAGAATCAATGGAAATGGAAGTCGATAATCCGACTTCCACTGATGTTGCTAATAATCCCGCAGAAGTTACGGAAAAAGGTGTGATGGCAGCTGGGGCTGTCGGTTCAGTGACTTGTTCCTTGCACCCTTTGGTAATAATGAATGTTTCCGAACACTGGACACGTGAAAAGGCTCAAGAAGGCTCAGTCCAGCGAGGTATAACAATTTATAACAAATTAATCATTCATTATGCGTCATTTGTAGTGATTGGGGCCTTGATTGGTAAGCAAAAGGGGCGCAACATTGAAATAATGAACTCATTTGAACTGGTATTTAGTGTGATTGGGGATGATGTTATTATTGACAGGGATTATTACAACATGAAGGAAGAACAGTGTATGTGTTGAATACTCAATGTTATATTTTATTGACCAAAATATTGTAGTCAAACAGGTTTTCAGTGACATGGATTTTATTGGGTGGTATACTACTGGTGACATCCCCAATACTACTGATATTAAAATTCACAAGCAAATTTGCGACATTAATGAATCTCCAATTTTGCTCAAATTAAATCCTTATGACAAAAATATTGATGTGGGTATACAACGCTTTTTTAGTCCTAGTTTTAACATAATTGTTTTAGCACTTGCCTGTTGCTCTTTACGAGTCTGTAATTGATTTAATTGGAGGTGAAGCAACAATGTTATTTGTTAATTTATCTTATACTTTGGCTACTGAAGAAGCTGAAAGAATTGGAGTGGATCATGTAGCTAGAATGTCATCAACAGATTCAGGAGAAAGCTCTCTAGTTGCAGAACATTTAACTGCACAACACAGTGCTATCAAAATGCTGCATTCTAGAGTTAGATTAGTATTAGAGTACATGAAAGCTGTTCAGAGTGGCCAATTGCCAACAAATCATGAAATTTTAAGAGAAGCTTATTCCTTGTGTCACAGATTACCTGTTATACAAAGTGCAAGATTTAGACAAGACTTTTATAACGTAAGTATCTCTATTTTATTAATTTTTGTAACTGTATTTTACAGCAATGCAACGACGTGGGTCTTATGACGTACTTAGGGACTTTAACAAAAGGCTGTAATGATCTTAACCAGTTCGTAAATAAGTTCAATATTTTGTATGATAGGCAAGGGTTGGGCAGGAGGATGAGAGGAATTTTCTTTTAATTCATAAAAAACGATTTATTTATAACCCTCAGCTCTGTATTAAAGTTTCTATTAAACAATCCTTCAATATTACAAATTGTCTTTTATTGTATTTTGCGGCAATTTTTATCAAAAGAGCTTATAAAAGGCAATGATACTTGTATAAAAATTTTGGGAAGACTGCAGTTTGTAAATTCTTCATTGAGTGGTGATTGTGTGCGTGTACAGAGAGATATTTATGTGATTTTTATCACAGAATCAATTTTTAGTTATTTAACACAACACGGTGAATACACAAAAATCTCCCTGCTTTTACAAAATATTTTTGTTACGTTAACATTAAAATAATTTTACAATATATGCGTTTTTATCAAAACAAGTACACTGAATGAAACAAGCGGAAGCTCATTTTATCTGAAGTAAAAAAATTATAAGAATGTGTTTGCTAATAACTGAAGTGTGACTAGATATCTCAAACCGTTCTTTCTATTCCAATTAACTCCTCAAACAAGGTTCCACTGACTTCGCGTCCGTGTAGTACTTGATTTGAGTACCTAAGTGTCGCTTGAGCAAGATCTTTAACAGTCCATTTCCTATCAACGAGTATTCTACACACTGTATCCAGTTTTGTCAATTTCTGATGACCACAAGTGTAATATTTAAGGGTCGGGATTCCGGCCACGCTCGCCGCCAACCATTGAATTATCACTTTTAATTGCACATCTCCGCACTTAGAAGAACCACAACCCCAATTCCCTGTCGCGACAGGCTTTAGCCCGGTGTTGGGCCTCTGCGTTATCTGAGAAATCTGTAAAAACATCAATTCTTTGTTATTAACACATACAAACAAGAACAAAGTTATAAGTTTAAAGGGCTACAGATGTAGGTACAGATTGAACATAAATTTTGGTTGGGAATCTTTGTATAAAGTATATTTTTCTGTTGTTAATTTTTTGGATGAATAATAAATTGTGTAGTAATTTCATAAGCTGAAAGAAATCGTGCACTTAGTTTTTAATGTTTCAGAGGTAAAGTAGTGCAACATAGATTCCAACGTTGTGGCGTTAAAATGGGGCTATCTATTAGGTAGAAACAATCGTTTTTCGGACTGTTGATCACTAATAGTGAAAGAGAAAGGCATGTTAGAAACTTTAGTGTAAAAATAAAGAGTCCAGTTAGTTCAGGTTAAAATAGTCATTACCTGTTTTTCTTTGGGTAAACTAACGCTACAAGAAATATCTTCTAGAGTTTGGACGATGGCTTCATTTACGCAAGATATAAACCAAGCTTTACGCTTTTTACTTGTTAAATTACAATCACTTAAAACAGGTTCTACGTCTTTTGTTAGAGAGAAATTAGATTTTTCGTCATCTAAGGGCTCTTTACTGATCTGTTAATAAAAAAATTACTCAAATAAGTTCCAACATGCCTTTCTTTATTGTATTTAACTTTACAGGTGAAAGCATACTTACTAATTGAGCAGCCAGTTTGTGTTTTTGTCGAGCCAACTCCAAACTGAGCGATTTTGCACTGAGCACTAATTTATTTTTCTTAACTGTGTTAAAATCGGGGTTTCGGGTCGTATCAGCGTTTTCTGCTAATGGTACTGGAACCCCAGCGAAGGATTCACTTAGAGTACGTTTTAATAACGATCCAGCGAATTGCACCACAGCCAAATCTCGGCCTTCCAACTCCTTCTTCGTCCCTTTTTCCGTTTCCAGAATCGGGTTTTGGAGCCAACGCGAGAACTGTTCGTAAACTTCCTCCAATTCGGAACTATATTCAGTACTAAAACTATATTCGGACGACTTGTTTGATTCTTTTCGGCTTAAAACGGATTGTTTGTTTTTGAATTTATCGATCCATTGCTTCTCCTGTTGCAACGAATCCTGGAGGAAATTCTCATCGAGGGAATCCTCCTTGAGGGCAAATCCAGTGGAACCCCCACGTCGGACTCTAAATTCACAAATGAGACAAGTTTTAGTGAAATTAAAACTTACTTAATTTGTTTGTCTTGCACGTCTGAGCCGGCCACTGAGATTCCCACAGCATAACTCGACTCAGATGAGCTGCTGAAAGTGTCTGAAACCTCTCTCCTTAATGCATCTCTGAGTCTTTGAGCAAAAGTGTGACGACGTTCGGGAGTCTCTAAATCAATACTGTATCTCTTATGATAATTTTCATCTTCACTTTCTGAAAACACAATTGATTAAAGGAGCCACTTTTAAAATTACACAATCACCGTCATCTACACTAGTCTTGGCACTCAGAAACTCCTCCTCGCTGGACTCACAACTGGAGTATACGCTTTTCGGGGGCGAGTCCACCGGTTTCCTCGTCACTGGAAGACACTCCCCTGAGGACCCCAAGACAATAAACCTCCCTCGTCGGTTATTCACCAACATTTCGTTATTAATTTGTCCTTTCTTCTGCAAGTTTCGCTCGACTTCTAACTGAACTCGAAGCTTGTTATTTGAGATATTGTTGTTATCACAAAATGAGGGTGGAGATGTGCTCCGGTTTGTGCTACAAGACTGTTGTGTTATAAGGGGGATTGCAGGGTCGGATTGAGTGGACCCAATCGACTCGCCGATGGGCGACAGCCGCCTTTGTCGGTTCATGTGCAGGTTTTGGGGCTCGTTGTTGCGGAATTGCTTCTGCTGGAAGGCCAAAAGACACTTGTTGAGTTCGCGTAAAATATTATCTTCTTCGTACTGCCCGATTGGCAGTTTTTTGTAATCGTCGGCGTCTACACAGCAGACTGTCATCTTAAACAACTGATTTAGAGGGTTTTTAATACTGGATTAGGGGCTACCTCTTGAGGAACGTCGAATTTCTCAAGCGAAGCGCGGTTTTTGGGGTCAACTATTCGAGAAATATGCCTAATTTTTTCTACAGTTAGCACCTCGTTATCTTCCAGGGCTTCTACGTTGAGTAAGACGGTTAGTAATTCGGGGTAAGTGACTAGATTTATACATTCCTAAAAAAGTACATGTTTATCAAGTTTTAAGTGAAAATAAACCGACCTGAGTATTGCCATCACCTAAGACATTGCCGCCAATTTTCGAACTGGCGAAACAAACTTGCATTGAATCCGACTCACTTCTTTCGAGTTTACCTTCGTGTCGAATTTGCAAGGGACACAAAGGGAGGCTACATTCTAACCAGTCTTCGATTGTTAACCACTCTTTACTGGTCATTACCTACAAATCTCTTAATTTTGTTCCCAAAAATAGTTTCAAATCTTACCTGACGTGATATTTTAAGGCACCCTGTAGCATTATCACTATGTTCTAACCAGTCAAAATAATACAAAATACTCTTAAGTTTCGCCTTTTGGACATTTTTATCTAAATGTTTGAAAAAATGAGTGAAATTAAAATTTTGTAACGTGGGGTGAGTCCGGTCGGACCGTTTTGGAAATGTCGAAAAGAACGCATTGGCAATTAGAGACGCTATAAATGAGTATTGTAGTTCAGTACAATCCGCTAAAAATCAAAAATTCTACATATGAAACCTCTAGTGACCAATTTTTACATTGCTGTTGCAGACTGAAATGTAGGCCATTTTTCGGTTTATGATCTTTCAATCTCAAGGCCCTTTTTACTATATTTGGCAAAGTTTTATTCAAAAAATTGCTTCTTTCCTCACTGGTGAGATCATTATCTAGAAAATTTAGAAGGCCGACGAAGAGGTCAGGGTCATTGGTGTCTTCTTCAGGGTCTAGACTAACACTGAAAACACGTCAAATGCAGTTGTGGTAAGGTCATGGCTGAAGTCGTACTTGCACATATCGTGGATTTTTTGCATTCCTTCGATTAATTCCAGAGTGTTTTTGGTGTTTGCTATTCGTTTCAAGTGTTTCTTCACCGAGTCCCACCAAGGCAAATCACAGGGGAGCATTACTAAAGCCATTTTGCTACAAATTAAGAGTAAACAACGGGTGAGTAAAAGTAAATTTGCTTTTCATTGTTCTATTTTTAACACGATGTGTGTTCTGATAAAATACCTCGCCCATAAAATAATTGTTTTGTGAGTTGCTATACCTTAAATCACAAATCTCAGTATGTGATTTGTGCCTTAAATTTCGCTTTCGATTAATAATTATCCAATTAATTATTTTTATTGAAATGTCTAAAACTGAAATTATCTACATATTTTAGGAAGCGAATTTTTTTTATTATTGCTTTTAGAATTAAATATTTTGGGGGGATATACGTTATGGGTACTCGTACACTTGTTTTTTTACATATTATCTGATGTAAAATGTATTAAAACTATCAAAAAAATTTTTTTAATAAGCTCGGGATTAAGATTTTAAACTAATTATAATGTACCATAGAAAATCTTGAAATCATAAAAATTGATTTTGAGGAATTTTATTTTTGTATGATTTGGGAAATATTAAACCGGTGACTGAAAATAAAATTAAATTAAAAAAAATTAAATTTGTATATTTGGATTTTCCAATAATAATTAATTCCGGGTAGACAATAATAAATATTTCTTTTTTGATATCAACGAATCTACCAAAATATTTGTTACATTTTTTCTAAATATAATAATCGTAAATTTGGAATCGAGAATAGCCACACTATTTACTGGGTACATTTTTTGATAATACATAATCACGATGACCTGTGTAACATTTTTGGCATTTTTATTTATTTATTATTTCTTAAAAAAGATTAGGTAGAGTTAATCATTCACACATTTGACAAAAATATCTCCTCATTTTTAGCAGGACTATAACCTCATCACTTTCCTCGTAACAAGCTGGTCGGTGGTCACAATCATAGTCTTACCTTATCTCTTATCTCTCCCAGAACAACGAATCTCTAATAATAATCACGTATTTTTAGAACCATCACACCGCACCATCATACATCCGTATTTGCTGTCGGTGCTATAAGCCCCCACGTTTTTTCATAACTGATTTTGTGCTCTTATCGCTAGGAATTTTCTGTTTTGATTGATGAAATTTACTGTAATACACATTCACTACACTTTGCCATCGTCATATTTCTCGATCGGTTGGAATTGTGGAACTGGCAGCCCTATAAATACGACGGAAATCCGGCCTGATATTTTTTCGACGCTTCCGACGGAAATTCTGTTCAATATTGAATTGGGTGTTTGTAGCGTCGCGGTGCTAGTTTGCAGGCGCTAAGTCTGAAGGCGGCAGCTTTGAGATTTGTATTGTTCTCATTTCGTCATCGAGGTGTTTGAAACGCGCATGGTTTGCAAGATTCAAATAAATGGGGTTTATTTGACGTGTTTAGCACGTGAATACTACCGTTTACAATAGGAATAGGTATTAATAGGTGCATCTTACGATTTTAGTGTGTTAATGTGACGTCATGTTATTTATTGTATTTAAAACTAGGAGTTCAAAGAAGCTTTTTGTTTTATTCTGAGATTACTCATGGGGGGATTTCATGAGAGATTTACCGGGAAGTGACTCATAAAAAGATAAATAAAAATATGTATTTGTAACAGAAAATTACAACGAAAACAAAAAATTTAGAATCATATATGTTATCGTTTTTTTTTTATTTTGCAATATCGACGTAAACATTTTTGCTCATATGTACATATATCACTGATATATACAGTGTGTGTTCCCGCGATCCCCGGATAGGTTAAACGACTCTTTTAAAATATAAAAAGTTCTCGATTCAGATTCAGCCCTGCTTAGTTAAAAACTAATTTCTAACATAATTTTAGTTTTAAAAAGTCAAGTATGCCATGGAAATTCTCAAAAAATCTTATTTTTCGGTAGTGCCTTTTATGTGGCAAATACGACAAAAAGTTATTAAGAAAAGTTGTTTACAATCAACATTTAGTCTCTTATAAGTCTTATACCAAATTTCAAAATCATCGGCGAACTATGATTGTTCATTTTTTGTAAATTTTGTGAATTTTTTTTATTCAAACAGAAGAACTGTTATTAAAAATGAAATTCTTTGATTTGTAAAGTAAACATTAAAAAAATGAGAAATTATAAGAGTCTTTTCACTTATGTTTTTTTTTTATTTTAAATTACTACTGATTTTGGTATAAACCCCTGTAATATCTTATAATTTATTTTTAAAATGCAAATTTTAAATTAAAGAAAAATAGAAACACTTACAGGTGTTTAGAAAACTCAAAGTTGTGCTATTATTTTTGTGTAATAGATATAAAATTTGAATTTCTTTAAAAATGTTTTTCAAATTTGCAAAAGACGAGAAAAGTTTATGAGATTTTAATTATAGTAAATCTCTTTTAAGTTTTATCGATTTTCTTGATAATTACAAATTTGCATGATTTTCTGTTATTTTCCCTTATAATTTCCTTATGAAATAAAATAGCTCTTATTGATATAAAAAATAAAGAAATTACTTTCATTTTAAAATTCAAGTAGAGAAGAGAATTGAATTTAAAATTTGATGAATTCTTTTTTTTTATTACGAATGTATGACTTTATCAATATATTTTTTCTGAAATAATAGTTTAAACCTTGACTAGTAATAACTAATAAAACGGATACTATAGGTTTATGGGGGATATAATTGAGGGGAAAACTGTTAAAAATATATAAGTACGAGTATATCGATTTGATGAGAGTTAAGATTACTAAAATGGAGAGTTTTGAAGTAAATTTGTTTTTAACCTCAATAAATAACTTTTTTTTATATTACACTTTTTTAGGGCTTTTATTAACTTTTGAATGGTGATAAAAGACTTCCAGCTAAACATAAAAATTAATGCATTTTTTTCCAAGCTTTGGTTTTTGAGAAAAAACTGAACTGATAATTTCTATATTATTAATTTATTAATTTCTGTATTATCATGTAGCTCCTGTGTTTCCGATGTTGTCGGATTTAATTTATTATTGAATGTGCGAGTTTGCTAAGTGTTTTGTACACCATAAGATACAAATTGGTGATTTTTTTCAACAGGTATCTGTTTAATGTTGCAAGATCTGTCGTTTCCGCTAACTCAATTCAAAAATATGTATATCATGTTAACGTCCAAACACTTAATGTAAATATATAACCTTTGAGAAGCTATATCTCGTAAAAAAATATTCAAACAATTTTGTAATAGGAATTTTTCATTCTATTGGATGTCTTTTATCACTACCCAAGAAATGTCCGAGACTTTAATATCACTCTATGTATTAGGTTTTTTAACACATTATTGTCAACATTTTAAAGTCACCCTCATTCTAATTTTTTTCTCGTTTATTAAAGACATAGCATTATTTTTTATTTTTAACAGAAACAAACATACTTATCTTTACTGCTTCTATCTACCTAGTATTTTAAATACCGAAGTAAAGTTTTTGTTATTTTAGTAGCTTTTACTCAGTTCTATCATAATACCAAGTTTAATCATTAGCATAGATAATACGGGTATTACTGGTATTTATGTACAAATGGTAGATAAAAAACCACTATACAGTATCGAGTAATGATAACAATTATTAAAACTCGTGCACTAACGTTCCAAAAGTTTCAAACTGTCGGGAAAGTTTACTTTTCTTCTTTATTAGGTGAGTGCATAGAATAAATAAATCATATCCCCACATATGTGTGAAATATTTTGGGTTGCGAGTATATTTCACCTGTAATCTGTAAAATGTCATGAAACGATCCACGTTATTTACTTAATAAGTACCTAATCATTAACTTGCATTTTATTTTTCATTTATTTGTTTTATTTATTTAATTTTTTTTATGTTATTTGTTTTAAAGTATTTTTGACTTAAGTAAACCAAGAACGTGACAAGGAGATTATTATTTTGACATCTTAATAACGTGATAAGACAAGTAATAAGAAAACACTGACTCACTTATAATGGTGTAACTATTTGTTAACTATAAAATAAAAAATATTGTTACTATAACAATTTATATTAAATAAAAATTAATACAGAAATAACGTGACATAAATACGCAAAATAAATAACAATCGGTTCCAAACAATGCGTCAACAGGAAGGTACAATTAATTATAATTATTTTACATTTGTACAATGAATACGTAAAGAAATAAGTAACAACTGTGTAGGAGGAGACAATTTAAAATGATAAACAACTAAGTCTAATTATTAGTCACAGTGTTGTGGATGTAAATGAGGTACTGTATATGGAAGCTGAGTTTGGATAATTAGTTATTATTAATTACTATTTAAAATACTAAATATGAAAAAAAAAAACAAAAATATTTTATAAAATAATTGCAGGATTTATGTCAAAAAAACTAAAATTGGCATATAAATACCCCGAAGAGTAATAAAATAATCATAAACAATGAATTCTTAATATTATTACTGCCACTCCAACACACTTTTTTAACCGCATGCGTATTCAAACCCTTTCTATTTAACAAACTATGAACCCCGTGTATATCTGCCGAATTCAGCTTCCTCTCGCGACTCAAAAGAATAGTAAACAACTGTCTATCGGGCAACTGGTGACAGAAAGTCAGCACCAAATGACTTCCCACCGCTTTTATGACTTGCACCGTCCCTGCGAAACTGCTGTAAAGTGGCTCCAACTCCGATCCTGCAATCAATTTTCTCTTTCACAAAAGTTAAAATAATCAATATTTACCATTTTGAGGACCAGCACTGATCCAAAATCCTGGTCTACTCGTGTTATACTTCAACTGGTATTCTGTCTCACTTCCATTTTCGTCCCACCAGATTCTCAGTCGCCGCATTTCGTAAGGGTAGTCCCGAGGGTTGTAAAACTTCGTACCGTAACGCCTGTTGTTGTAATTTCTGTAATAAGGGCCTTGAGTGGCTCTTTCGTATTGGTCGTATTGGTCATAATTCGGGTTTCTGTCAGTGGGTCTCGGATAAGGAGGGCGTTTTTCCCCGTAATTGTAACCGTAATTGTAATTTTTATACAAGGGGTTGTAAGTTGTAGTCGGATAGTCTTTGCTGAGGGTTAAATGGAGGACGGGGCAAGATTTACCAATGCGAACGTAGTGGTCTTCCACTTGGTGATTTATTATTTCGATACCGTACCACATCCCCATTAACTATAATTCAATTTTGGGAATATTTGATAAATTTTGTTTATTTTTTTACCTGTTCTATGCTAACGTGTTGCTGAGGGTTCATATCCGCGCAAAAGAAATAGGGAGAAACGTCTGCATTTGAGACAGTGAGTAGAAAAAAACCCAAAAGTGGCCACATGGTGTGAAAAAATCAACTTGCACAGACACACATGCACATTTAATGGAACAATTTCTGTTTGACTGATTTTAATGTAAAAATTAGGCGACTCCTGACCCATGTGTGGGGGGTTATTACGTGTCCATCTTTAATCTAATCAAGGCAATTATCATTTATATGCTAATGAAATTTTCTTGAATCAAAAGGGCTTAAATGTGCGCCTGATGCACCCCGTCTAAATATGTGATAAAATTAATCAAGACTTTTACTTTTTTGTAATAAATATTATTAAATCAAATTATATATTATGAAAATAAGTATTTAAGCAAGATCTAAAAATAATTTAGGATGCCGAAATATTAATAAAAACATCAAAAGAAACTATAGAATTTTTGCTCTACTGTTTCTTATTACAATATTTTCCGTATTATTGAAGTATCTTCAGTGGTGATTTATACAAGAAATTATCGAAGGTCGAAGTTTTATCTTATTTTTAATGATTTGTTTTTCAGAAATTATTTTAGTGTGAATTGTGGTGCATGTGATATGTTGTATTTTTCAGAGTTTGTTTATAAGTTCTCCTTGTAAATTGATAACTTGTATACTGTGTCTTAGATTTTATTATTGTGACAAAGGAGAACTACTTTTAAATAAAAATGAGGGGTAAGTGATATTTAATTGAAATTTTACGTGCAATGGCTTTAATTATAAAGGCATTACTAAAAATAGAACACTTGCTCTCTTTCTAAATTTGCTCTTTAAAATCGAGATTGATTTAGTTTTGAGGTAATCGATTTCTTCAATTTATTTCTTAGTGGACATGCGTAATTTTCATGTTTAACTGGAAAAACAGATCAATACTGTCCTAAAATAGTGCTGGAATTAATTTCTTTATAGTCTGAGAGCAGTCTTGAGTTTATTAAGACTTCGTTTGACAAACACAACGTTTTTGTAGGTTTGTCTTTTTATTTAATCCTGCTTACGCTGATTTTCATTAAAATAATGTAGATAGACATCCTACACAAGATTTTATTTGTTTTCTTAAATTCCGATGCTGAACAGAATTTAAAAGATTACATAACTTTAGAGTATTAACATTTATAATAATATCTAGTTTATAGGTCAAATAATTTGATTAAAGGATATCGTTGCACAATAATTATATAGAAATATATTATTTTGTCTTAACGAAAATATCGCGATTTTTTTATTAAGTAATTGTTATTTATTTAAAGGTAATTAGTACTATGCAGTATTAATTTCAATTTTAAAAAAGAAAAATGTTTATGTGTTTACCATTTTTGCTTTATTTAGTTAGCATCTTCAGTTTTAATTTAGATTTTTTCTACATTTTATCAAGAACTCATATGCATTTGTGCGCAATTAAAAAACTACAAAAATACAAGAATCAGTTCAAATATGTAATTACTGCAATAATTTTTATTTTTAGTGATTAATTGTAATTTTTTTTATTTTTTATATTTCTTCAGTACTTAATTTTAAATTTAAAAAATGTGTTTTTTATAAATAAATATACTTTCGTATTATTGCTTATTTGTATTCCTGCTGAGAGGCGTAAAGTTGGTTGCCTACCGCTTTCAGTAATTTCCTGCTGTCGCTTCTTTTAGTCATGTTTGACCTTGAATAACAGTAGTTGTCTACAAAACAAAACACGTCACTTATTTGTGGGTAATGTTACACACACACCCACACCCGTTATTAAATTTCGGGAATTTCGATTTTAAATAGATTTCGTTTCAATATTTAACCTACGTGTTTATGTTCGAATTTAGTAGTCAAAAACCGGCTTTGGTACACGGTAAAATATTTACTTCTCCGCAATTTGGTAAATAAAGTTTCTGTTTTGATTGCAGTAATACTTGGATTAGTCTTTGGAATACTACTATCCGCTTCGACAATGGCAGAAAACGCATCCGAATTGCAAGTGTTGCAAGGCAATAGCCAGTTCACCAACAAGATGTACAAACTGCTATCTCAGGAAAAGGGGAATATTATTTTTTCGCCGATTAGTATCCATGCTGTTCTTTCTATGGCCTTCCAAGGAGCCCTAGGAAGCACTGCTGAACGTTTCGCATCAACACTGCAAGTCCCTGAAGCTAAAACAGCAGCAGAAGGCTACAGTGAAGTAATGAAACGGCTCAACTCCGTCGAAAATGTAACTCTATTAATGGCCAATAAAGTTTTCCTGATGGCGGGATGTAAATTACTCTCTGGTTTTGAAACTGCAGTTACGAAAAATTTCCAATCTGAAGTGCAACTAGTGGATTTTGCCAAAACCGAAGCAGCTGCTAAGACTATAAACGATTGGGTTGAAGTGAAAACAAATGAGAAAATTAAGGATTTAATCAAGAAAGAAGATTTGGATGATTTGACACGATTAGTGCTCGTGAATGCGATTTATTTCAAAGGGAACTGGAAGAACAAATTTAATAAAGAAGATACTAAAACTGAACCGTTTTATTTGAATGATGTGGATACTGTTGATGTACAAATGATGCATACAAAGAAAAAGTTTAATTACAAAGTTGACCAAGCTTTAGACGCACAAATACTTGAAATGCCTTACATCAATGAAGATTTAAGCATGATTATTATTTTACCAAATCAGAAAAACGGAATCGCTGAACTTGAAAAGAAGCTAGAAAATTACAACTTGTCTGAAATCACTCAAAATATGTGGAACACCGAAGTTAATGTAGCTTTACCGAAATTCAAAATTGAACAAACAATTGATTTGGAAGATTCTTTAACAAAGGTGAATAATTATATTTCAAATAATTAATTTTGTATATTAACAATTTTGTTTCAGTTGGGACTTGGTGAAATATTTGATCAAGAGAAAGCTAACTTTAAAGGTATGATTGAATTAAGGCCAGGCGAAAATTTGTATGTCAGCAAAGTTGTACAAAAAGCATTTATTGAAGTCAATGAGGAAGGAGCTGAAGCTGCTGCAGCTACTGGTAAGTTGACAAAATTTGTGTTTTTACTTTGTCTAGCATGTGTTGCTTATTCACGCTTTAATAATATTTTTTTGCTTATTAACAACTTTTGAACTAATTGCACATTGCACTTTCATCAAATTTGAAAAAAAAATACTATAAAACTTTATCTCAGTGAAGGTATACACAATACACACGCTTTTTAGGGACACCTATGTAACCAAGTTTAATTTTTTTCTTATTTTTAAAGGTACAGCACATGAAAAAGTTTGTATTGCCTTATATGCACGCTTTTTATTAATTCACAAACTTTTTCTTCGCTTATTTTTAAGGTATTTTGCACTTTAATAAGCAGTGTAGTCATTTAACATTTCCGCTAGCCGTAAATTAATCTGAATAAAGATAAATAGGTGAATTTTCACAAACCTTTCGTAGGTGTGCATGTCATGATGAAACGATGCTTAATTTTCCCAGAAGAATTTTGTGCTGATCATCCTTTCATATATCTTCTCAAAATTTCAAAAGCAAAAACTGGAAATGTATTGTTTTATGGAAAAGTGGCAACATTGCTATCATCTAGCCCCACTCATGAAGAACTTTAATTTTTTTCGTTCTTTTAGCAAATTTAATGATTTTAGAGGGGCTTTTCTGTCGTATTTAGTTTAAAAGGATTTTTTTCGAAAAAATATCATCGGAACATAATATTTTTTGTGAATTTCATAACGATAATAAACAACTACAATAGTTTGTTGACAATTATAAATAGGTATACCACTAAGGCAGCGTCGAAATTAGTAATTATCTCCAATAATTTACAGCTAAAATTAACGACGATTAATAGAAATAATAATTAAAAAATATATATGTAAATTAAACTTCATATGTAAAGAGATTACTAACTCACGCAGATAAATTCAATTTAACAAACAATCATATTAAGCATCGTTATTGCTTTGTGAAGATAACCTCCATGACTGTCTATCATTCTTTTTATGTACCTAGTGGTGCATATTCAGTGACCCAGATTTTTGGTTTGAATGATTCGGTGCTACAGTAGCTGATTTGTGTTAAGAAAAAAAAAAAAGAAAAAAAAATAACAAAATAATTTAGAGTAACTTTACCCATTACACAATTCATATTCTTTTTTAGTGACATATGGTGGTTGGTGGTTTGTTTTTTATTTTGGAAATACAGCACATAATAAAATTCTTTTTACTAAATACCTACTCTATACAAATATTTTAATTCTATTCATAGGCTAATTGTTAGTTTGCCAACTCCTTCTTAAGCTTATTTTTAAGGTATTTTTCTCTTTAGGCATTTTAACATTTTTTAATCTAAATTTTAAAAATTTCACTAAATTTTATAAACCTTTCGCAGATGTGGTTGTTGAATTGGAACGATGCTTAGAATTGCCAGAGGAATTTTGTGCTGATCATCCTTTCACATATTTTCTAAAAACATCAAGTTTAAAAACTGGGAATTTATTGTTTTATGGAAAAGTGGCAACGCTACTATCATCTATCCATACTCATGAAGAACTTTAATATTTGTTTTTTAACAAATTTAATGTTTTTAGAGAGCCTTTTCTGTCAAAAAAATAGCGCATATTTATTTAGATATGACAAAAAATGCTCTCGGAAGAAATTTTTTTCTGAATTTCTTGTCGTCGAAATTGAACAAAACTAGTTCTTTGTAAACTAAACACTATTTGAAATATATTTTCGTAAAGATTGGTAAAACTATCTACTACAAAAAACTACTGTTCACAAGAAGGCAATGTAATATCTCATAAAATGCAATTATTGTATTCACACTTAAAATAGCAAATAAAAAACAAAAATTATTTTTTGAAATAAGTTAAATGAAACTTCATTTGAAGATATTGCTAACGTAACTAGTAAGTGCTTTGAAGATGACCCCTATGAGTGTTTATCAACTTTTTATCAACCTAAAGGTTGACATTCAATGACCCAGATTTTGTATTTGATTCACTGCTATATCTATGCCATGCTATCTCTAAGGCTGATTTTTTTTTGACAAGAAAGGCTGTTCTGTAATGAAAAAATAAATAAACATAAGTATTTTAGACTAGCTTATTAATTAGGCAATTACACAGTTTTTTAGTGACCGGGTGGTTCTTAGTTTTTTCTTATTCTGAAAATACAGCCCATCAGAAATCTTTATTACTTTACTAAAAACCCTAGACTTGTATTTTAATTCTATTCTATTCTATTCATTTTAATATTTTCGTAATTTATGAATTAATCTAAATTTGAATAAAATGTTACTAAATCTTCATAACTTTTCGCAGATGTGCTTGTTGAAGTGGAACTGTGCTTAGAATTTCCAGAGGAACTTTGCGCTGATCATCCTTTCATATATTTTCTTGAAACATCAAAGTTAAAAACTGGGAATATATTATTTTGTGGAAAAGTGGTAATACCGTCTAGCCATTCTCATGAAAAACTTTAATTTTTTCATTTGTCTTGCGAATTTAATTTTTTAAATGTCACAAATTTCTTGAATTTGCAGCGGACCAACCATTTATTTATATAATTTCTTGAAATAAGAATCCAGTGGTGTGGGGACGTTTAATCAATCCCTCAAAAGTTGATTGAAAATATAAATACTGATAGTTTTTTTTTTAAATTAAGGCATTTGTAATGAAAAATAAAAATTATATAATCAAGCGGTGATGATCCTTTTCCAAGTATACATCTCTTTGCTTTTTGGCTATTCATTATTAATTAAATGAAATGTTATTGTAAAAATTTGGAATATTTTTCAGTAGGTACAGTAAGTTTTGTATGGCACCTACTGAAAATGCAACTTTTTACAATAAATATAATATAATCTTCTGATGAAATTCTACAGTGCATTTTTTATAATATAGCCCTTGCAATAAAGAAGAAAAAGAAAAAAATAATAAATTTTGAGGAAACGATTTTCGAAGCCGACCATCCACTAATTTACTTACTGTTGAACAAGCAAGAATATGCTATTTTTTCAGGGCGTCTCACAAATCCTAGTGTTTAATTAATTGTAAGTGAAATAAGTTTTTTGTGTCATAGGCACCCCTTGTTGCTATTGTTATTTTCGAATAACTAATAATAATAATAATAAATTATTAACAACCAGCTTTATTAAATTACTGACAACTTATTGTAAAGCTTGGAGTATTTTTTCCTAGTTTACTTAGAGTTTATATTCCAATTTTTCCAATAAGTTTAATTACAATCGGAAATTTATTTTTGTCTGTTTAATACAGGTGTCATAACGAAGCTAAAACGTAAGAAATTATCTTGGCCGAAAATTTTCAAGGCAGACCATCGATTTATTTACCTGATAACACAAAAGACAAAAAGTATTAAATTATTTACTGGACGTTTTTAACTCCTGTATTTATACCTACAAAATTCTATTTTAAGAATATAAAATTAATGGCCTTGTGTACTATATCTTCTAGTATTTGGGAAATTTTGTAAATAGTTTGGCAGCACACGTAATTTAAAAGTTTCCATTTTTAATATTTCCTATTTTGATATGCAGACGTTTTTTTGGAGAAATCAATCGTTTTTGACCAACCAATTTTCAAGGCTGACCATTCGTTTTTGAATTACATCATTGAAAAGAGGAGTAATATCTTATTTGCAGGCAGAGTGACTAATTCAAACCCTTAAATAGCTATTGCTGTATGTTTTATTCTTGATTCAAGTTTTGTATTTCATTTATGACTAAAATGTATATTTGAGTACTAAAATAGTAATAAATGTTCAACTATGAATATTTTAATATTTGTCTCCATTGTACTTTACTTTTTTTTTGTATTAACTCTTGGATGACAATTTTATTATAGGCATTTCATTAGGCATTCATTAGTAATGATAAATTGCAATAATGCATTATCTAAACGTTTGTAATAGTTTATTAAACTTTTCGCTTGGGCTTAGGCTTATGTAAGCTGTGAGTTACCTATTTATTTTTGAATGAACAAATTTTAATGGGAAGAAATCTCACCAGGTTTGAAGTATGTTTTAATGGGTTATAGAGAAGAATCGTATTTCATTGCCAATCATCCCTTCATTTATTTACTAACTGGAATATCGAGAAATTCGAGAAACCTTTTGTTTGTTGGCAGAATGACGGAAGTATAAATGATTTGATAAAAAAGAAAAACAGAAATTAATAATAATTGTTTAACCATCTTCTTATGGTACTTAATTTATTGATTAGTGAATTAATAATTATAGGCTCTCTTACCTTTTAGTCGCCTTCATTGGGGTATCACCACCATTGCTTTTAATTAATTATTGAATTCTATCTTTTCTAAATATGTTTCACTTTTATGAACAGATTCAATATTTATGGCAAAATCTGCAGTACTAGAGTTTCTAGTGGACCATCCATTTCTCTATTGCATAAGTGACAAGAGAAACATTAAATTATTTGCAGGCAGATTTTTAAAGCCAAATGCTTAATATTTTTCCGATTTATTGTTTGTCTACAAGTGGAAAAATGTACTTTTTAGTAATAAACTAATACGTATTTTCTACTGAATTGTTATATTTGATTTCTTGACGGAGAATTTTTATACAGGTATGATTATGATGGCCACCTATTCCTTAGTAATTCGTCAAGATGTGTATTTCACTGCTGACCACCCATTTATATTTATGTTGACTCAGAAATCGGGAAGCTCAAGAAATCCTCTGTTTGTTGGTAAAATCGCAAAACCTCAATAAAACATAAATATTTAAATTAATCTACATTTTGATTAAGTAAAAGCGAAATAAAGTTCTAATTAAAAAATAAATAGGGTCTTATTTATAACCTGCCGTAACACCACATCATCGCTTTCTAAGCTTTTCAGAAGAAAGGGTCCCATGGCATTTTTTAAATTATTTTTTGTGTGCAGGAATGGTTATTGCACTTGATACACTGAGCTTTGTCGAGCCAGAAGATATTTATTTTACTGCCGATCATGGGTTTCTGTTTCTTCTACTAAACAGACAACTAAGAACAAATCCTCTCTTTATGGGAAAAATCAAGAAATGTTAAGAGGAATATTGGATATCTTTCAGAAAAAAATATTAGTTTTTATTAGATAATCAGTTAGAACAAAAACTACAAAAACTGAACAAAAAAATGTACCTAATTGCAAAATAAAGAGTTTACATAAAGAGCATAATTATAAACCTGCTACTAATTTCCCTCATGTGAGATGATAAACATTGTATTCTCTTAAATAAGGGTATTTTAAAAGCGGTGAAAATGGGCTTAATAATACAACAAAGTAACCGGATTTTAAGACCTAAATAAGCATGATATTCAAAGTTCAAAATCTATTAAAATTTCTGTTAAATGATACCGTCAACAATGGTTTCACAAACAGCTTTTTGTTTATGGGTAAAATCTGGAGTCTTGGAAGTAATATGACACAAAAAACTACACAAAAATTCCACATGTTAGTTTGTATACCTATTTTGTTACTGCGTTCTGTGCTAATCGGGGTTTAGGTAGATATTTAAGAAACTAGTTGTTAAAGCTCAAAAAAGATTTTATTACTGCGATTGGGCATGAATGTCTGAAATGGAACTTTTTAATAGTACTAATATAAAATGCATGATGGAAATTAAACAATATAATTAAACAATATTTATAACGACTTTTTTCTTACTGCAGCCTCTGTATGGCTCAGTCGAAGTGGTCATAGCTTCTTATTTACTTTCGTGGTAGACCATCCATTTGTGTTTCAAATAGCACAAAAACACCAACATGTCAGGACTATTTTGTTCCAAGGAACTCTCAAAAAGCCTTATGTTTTATAACTTACTTTTGTATAATCTTTCTATAAAATAAATAGCCTTGCAAATAGTTCAATGTTTTCTTGCATGCATTCACCTCATAACAAGACTTGTACTTTTCTCGTTAAAAAAACAAAATACAAATAATTCAAATGTGTAATCCTGAAACTATTATTTTTTACTAGGAATGATGATGTATCTGAAGTGCGCAATCGCAGTAATGGAAAGTGCGGAATTTCAAGCAGATCATCCATTTATTTTCATATTAGTGGAAAAATCTGAGAATGTTCTCTTCTCTGGCCGAATTGCAAGTTTTGAATGAAGATTATCTGATAAATATTTAATCTCATTCACCACGCATAAAAATATTCACAATTTGATTAACGTAAACATCAAATACTAAAAAGAGCTTAACAAATTTTGATTTTTAAACTAATCAATTTAATTTCAAAACAGCTGTTATTCTCCACACTCGAATCTTAATAATAACACCTCAGGCCAAGAACTTGATAGCGGACCATCCGTTTATTTATTTTCTTCATCATAAGGACAAACTGTTATTTACAGGCCGAATCTGTAATCCTAAAATGTAGCATTTTTGGTATTTATTTTAATAAAGCAGTAGTCAGCTCTAATTCTGGCTGTTTTACTAAAATCGGGTTGCACGACCAATTTTGCTTAATGATCTAATTCTTAAAGTAGGTGGACGCATTATTTGTAGTTTTTTGTTAATTTTGTCTGCTTCAATGTTGTCGATTTTAGTTGAATTATACAGAATTAAAACTGACTCGGCAATTTCACATACCTATTACACTTTTATAATTTTGTACAACTCACTTTTCATGGCCTTATTATAGAGTAATTTCATCAGTACTTAAAATAGATCTTCCATTTATTTACATATTAGCTGTAAAAAAGCACCATACGTAATATATTTATGTCCAAAACATAAAATAATTGTTTATAATTTCATCTGCAATTTAATACAGTTACATGTCTGTGTTTTTTTTTTATTTAAAATTTGCTGCTTGTGTAATAATAATAATTTAAATAGAAATGTTAACTATATAGTCGTTATTTTTGCACAGGTATGATTATGGTGGGTTGTAGTCTCTCCTTAGAGGTTCCGCTAGATTTATTTTTCGTTGCGGATCATCCCTTCTTATTTTTTTTAAATGCAAAATCGAAAAGAAAAATAACCAACAATTTGTTTGTGAGCAAAGTTATAAGACCTGTATTCTAAGTATTAAATAACAGTACTTGTCAAGCAGAAGGTAATTATTTTATGTAGACAATAAATTTCATTTTTGATTTAAAAGAATTAAAACAGTAAAAATTTAAAATATAGCCTATAGGTTACGAAAATTATAAACATGTTCTTATTCTATTCATTTAGTTAGAATTTAGTAATAATAATAATGATTTAAATAGAAATTTTAACTATATAATTATTATTTTTGCATAGGTATGATTATGGTGGGTCTCTCCCTTCGGCCAGATTTATTTTTCGTTGCGGATCATCCCTTCTTATTTTTTTTAAATGCAAAATCAAAAGGAAAAATAACCAACAATTTGTTTGTGAGCAAAGTTATAAAACCTGTATTCTAAATAATAGATAATAAGCAGGAGATAATTATTTTATGTAGACAATATTTTTTTTGATTTAAAAGAATTAAAACAGTAAAAATATAAAATAAGTATAGCCTATAGGTTACACTAATTATAAACATGTTACTTACTAATTTAATTATAATTTAGTAATAATCATTTAAGTGGATTCAAACTGATTTTAAAATACCTAACTAATAAATATTTATAAAAACGAACTGTTTGAGATTCCATTTTATTTCATTTAAATATATTTTTTTTAATTATAATTTTTCAACAATTCTTATTTCAATACATAATTTAATAAAACTTGTGTGACCACATACTCTTCTATTTTTTGTTGCCCGGCGCCTCCACCAAAATAACTACTCACAGGACATCTTTTTTGCCTTTGATTGAGGCTTGTTTACTTGGGTTAAACGAATGTTTTATTCTATAAATTTTAAGTGAATCGAGAATTAAACAAATTTTTATTTCAATCACTTTTTGAATTTTTAGAAACAATAATAATTAAAATTGTCACTCTTCATCAACCAGGCTTTAATACATATTTGTTATTTTTAATTGCATACAGCTGCAATTCGTATAATTAGCTTTTTGTTTTGTGTTTTAGTTTAAACTAATACATATTTTTCGTTATTTCTGAAAACAGCTGTTATATTGAAAACTCGATGCCTTAGAATACCACCCAAGCCTAAAGCCTTCATTGCGGACCATCCGTTTGTTTATTTTTTGTTAAATAAGAACAAATTGTTATTTTCTGGCCGAGTGTCTGATCCTACAATTGTGTAATACACATTACATCACTATTTCATTATTAGTAGTATTATCTAGTTTGTTTTACGTGTGTACAAGAACTAATTGTCAAGATTGTAGTTACCTAATTATTAAAAAATGTTTACTGACACATAAATAACATAAGAACTGAACTTTTAAATTAATGCGACAATAAAACTTTGTAAAACTATAAATTTAACATTCATGACGAATTTTATCTCGCTAATAACTTGTCAGTGAATTGTACATAATTGGAATATTTACATATTATCCCAATATTATGTACGAATCACTTTTTGTGAATTTTGAAAATATGTATTAGAAATTAATTTTGATTTTATCATCTAGCTACAATCATGATGATGCGTTGTGCAATAGTACCCATACATCCTCCACCAATTTTTAAAGCGGATCACCCATTTATTTACATTTTGGCCGAAAAACGAACCAATCAATTGTTCGCGGGTAGGGTCTCTAATCCAACTGTATTTTAAAACTTATATTTTTGTATTATTGTGAAGATTGAAATGTTTTGTAAATTGATATTTTCAGTATTAAGTTTAGGGTATTTAAAGTTCAACTGTATTCGAGTATAATTATTAAATAAATCATTTATAAAATGATGATTCCTTTTACTTCATTGTCGTTTTATTTAAGTAGTGTTTGCTTCATAGCTCAACTCTTGATTTTGACAATTACATTTGGTATTTTTTCTGCAGGTATGATTATGGCTGTTGACTCCCTAATGGTACATCTAGATTTATTTTTCATTGCTGATCATTCCTTCATACTTTTATTGAATGAAAAGTCTAAAAAAACAACTAACACTTTATTGACTGGGAAAGTTTTAAAGCCTCAGCTTTATACTTAAACTTTAATGAATATTATAATGAACATAAACTGTTTTTTTAACACTTATACTTTAGAATTGAAATAAATGCTTGTATCAATGGGGGTTGTTTTGATTTGTTGTTAACATGGAATATTCTACATTGACAAATGTTTTTTAGCCGTAGTGGTTTCATTAGCCCGCAAAGGCAAGGTGGAAGTCTACTTTTACGCTAATCATCCATTTATCTATGTTATTACATCCGCATCAAAAGATCTTTTCTTTTATGGCAGATTGATTAAAAACTAAAACATAGAGGTGGGTATTTTTGCCAAATTATTAGACACCAACGTTACAATTATAATAAAAACAACTACTTATGTTTAAAATTGTCTTATTCTTTCCTCTTTCATTTTCCTCCTCCTTTACAGCTAGTATTTTTTATATAAAATGCATCTTTATTTGAAAAATTGAATTCAGTTAAAAAAAGATCAAAAACGAACTCTTTAGGCTTGAGTTTGTGACGGACACAGACTCTTCAAAGGTCGAAGAATGTTTTTTTAATATTGCGAATAATTCTACTTTTCAGCTAAGAAAAAGAACCTATACAGTCTTTTAAACCAATGTAAGTTTTTAAAAATAATAACATTGATACTATTCGAGTTGTTTTTGGTTGTACAACAAATATTTACAAAATCAAAGTAAAAAACTAACACACAATTCAATAATTTATTATGAATTAACAACGTAAAAGTTGTAAAAATGTAAACATTGTTATTGGGCCATTTAGAGGTCGGCCATTATAGTAATGTAAGAAACCAATCACTTTAGATTTTTAGATTCATTCAAAAAATTTAAATTAGTTGTGATTGGGCCGTTTGAGGTCAGCCATTAAAATAATGTTAGAATTAGAAACCAATCGCCTTAGATTTTTTCGATTCATTCGAAAATTTAATGCAATGATGTAAGGTCAGCCATTATAAGGAAATAGCAATAACCATTCATTACGATAAATTTATTTTTCGATAAAAATTACAAAACAAAAACAAAATTAACGTTTTGGAAAATAAAAAATAAAATCAAAATGCAGTTTTTCCAGTCGTTAGTTTTTATACAACCAGTAATACACGCCTGAATGCGTAAACATAAATTATTTATGAGGCAGGATCGTATAAATACAAAACAATCTTTTGACGCGTTTTTGCACGTGCTAATTTTTATATTGGAACTTGAAATTGTTTCTGGAATTATACCGTTCTTCATAAAGTTTTAATTAATTTTAAACAGTAGAATTTTGGGTAATGTAGGGTAATATTCCGCTAACATTTTTTATGATTTCAAACAAGGGGGTCTAATAAAATAACATCTTTTGCCTTCTCAAACTAAAAATTGATACTTACTTACCTACCATGGAATAATTTAATAAATAATCTAATTCTTTCCCAAACCCAAACCACAGATTAGCTCTAATTAGCAACTAATCTGTGCCCAAACCATTGAATAAGTATTCCACATCAATAACCCGCCAAAATGATAATCTTTTTTATTACAAAAAATCAAAATAAAGATTAGAAATTATAGGCGAAAACCTTTAAATTTTAAATTAAAATTTTTCTGTGATTGTAATAAAATTAACATAAAATCCCCGTTTTTTTACCCACTTTAATTTTAATTAGTGTTGATTTCCTGATATCACTTAAAAATAATAAAAACATTTGTTTTCCATCTAGCACGTGCCTTTCCAATCTAGAAATTTCCAGTCGCGTCCTCCAGGGGGGTGCGAAAATTCCAGAACCTTCTAGAAGATCCTAACCTTATAAAAGCCTCGACGCTGGCGCTCGCGCACTCAATTTCGAACAAATAAGCATTACGTGTACATTCTCATCAGCTTTTTTATTTACGAAAGAAGCTTGTGATTTTTATTTTCTTGTATTTTAGTGGACTTTTCGTGACATTAGTGTAGTGAAAATGGGAAAAGACTACTACCGAATCCTCGGCTTGTCGAAAGGCGCGAGTGACGACGAGATCAAAAAGGCCTATCGTAAACTCGCCCTCAAATACCACCCCGACAAGAACAAGTCCAAGGAGGCCGAAGAGCGGTTCAAGGAAGTGGCAGAGGCGTACGAAGTCCTCTCCGATAAGAAAAAACGCGACATCTACGACTCCTACGGCGAGGAGGGCCTCAAGGGCGGCATCCCCGGCGACTCGGGCACGTCGGCACCTGGAGGCTTCACATACACCTACCACGGGGACCCTCGAGCCACCTTCGCCCAGTTCTTCGGCAATGCTAGCCCCTTCGATGCGTTCTTCAGAGGCAACCAAACAATGTTTGCATTCCAAGAGGACGACATGGACGCCGATCCATTCATCAACATCACGGGCAGTCGGGGCCCCGGGGGCGCCTTCCGGAGCCAATCGTTCAACTTCCAAGGCAGTCCCCAGCGAGGCAAAGACAAGCAGGACCCCGCCATCGAACACGATCTATACGTCTCTCTGGAGGATATCGCCAAAGGGTGCACGAAGAAGATGAAGATTAGCAGAAAAGTGTTACAGCCTGACGGGTCGACGAGGAGTGAAGACAAGGTTCTGACCATTAATGTGAAACCGGGATGGAAGGCGGGGACCAAGATCACGTTCCCGAGGGAAGGCGACCAAGGACACAATAAAATACCAGCAGATATTGTGTTTATCATCAGGGATAAGTCGCATCCTTTGTTCAAACGCGAAGGCAGCGATATCAAATACATGGCCAAAATCACACTCAAACAAGCCTTGTGTGGGTGTTCTGTTGAAGTACCAACCCTAACGGGGCAGAAAATCCCCATACATTTCACAAATGAAGTTGTTAAACCAACAACAGTGAGGAGGTTACAAGGTTACGGGTTGCCCCTCCCCAAGGAACCTTCCAGAAGAGGAGATCTCATTGTCAACTTTGACATCAAGTTTCCGGAAAAGCTTTCACAATCAGCTAAAGATATTTTGTACGATACGTTGCCCAACTAAAGCAGTTTTTTTCATTAATAATAAGTCAGGCTGTACGTTTTAGTACAAATTAGTTTAATCTATGCTTTGTTAATCTTAATGCGACTTGTATGATTGTGTATTGTATTATAATGTAGCATCGTGTGATAATTTATCTGTTAATGTATAATAATAATAATAATAAATTCCTTTTTATTATTTTTTCTAATTTGATTTCTTTCATTTGGTTATGTTGGATGTTCCCCTTGGTCCGCACCTGTACTGTCATTAGTGTCATTTTTGACATTGACGTGATTAAAACTTCAACGTCAAATAATTACAAATCCAATATTTTTAAAAATGCATCAGTTAAATAAAACTTGCAAAATGCGAAAGTGACGCACTCGTGTAGGAAAAGCAAAATGTCAGTATTTGTTTAAATTAGAAATCCAGTCTGTGATTATCAGACACGAGGATGACTTGTTTGTTGACAAAAAAGTGACAATAACTTTGGACTTAACTCGAATAAATCAGTCATTTTGAAACCGGTAAACAATAGTGCTAAGATTGAAAAAGTACCACAAATGAAGTGAGGTTAAGATGGAACAGTCCGTGTGCCCCTTACTCAAAGACCCCAAATCGTACAATCCCGACACGATTGATCTAATCAATGATATCAAAGAACGCAAATACTGGTTGCCGTGTCTGGAAAACATGGTCAAGAAATTCGTCGCAAAGGCTAGTTCCCTGAATCCAGACAATCCAAATGCTACCGAAAATGCAGAAATTTGTTTTCAAAAATTCCACGACTTGGTTATTAAAGCACTGGAAGAACCCAGGTATTGTTTCCCGGATTTTAATTTAATTTCTGACTGTGTTTATTAGCGTTTTAGCACCTTTAAGCATCCGCACTTTATTGGAATTTAATGAAGATAATTTGAGAAGTAACAGTTTCAAGGACGCTTGGTACAAACAGAAGGAAACTGAGACAAAAGCCGCTCTTAAAGAATTCAAAGAGAGATTAGACTTCATTGACTCAATTGCTGATTTTGAATCAAAGTGGTTGGAAATCGTTACTGGCGTTTTAGCGGGAAATGTGTTTGATTGGGGGTCCACTATAGTAGCTGATATTTTAGAAACTTCAACCAATTTCGGGCTGTCGCAAGCTATGAGTACAATTGAAAAGAGACCTTGGTTTAAAGATAACTTAGACAATTGGATAGAACGAATTAAGGTAATACCTCGTTAAAACTAACAATTCAAATTTACCAACTTACGTAATTAAACATGTGATAAACGGCTATAAATTACTTTTAATACCGTCCTTTTTTCAGAAAGAACCTTACAAAGAAGCTGTTGTTTTTGTTGATAACGCAGGAGTGGACTTTGTACTAGGAATTTTGCCTCTTATTCGGGAATTTTTGAAACAAAATACTAAAGTCATTGTGACTGCAAACACGGCCCCAGCATTGAACGATGTCACTTGGCACGAATTAAAACTTTACTCTCAAGAAGCAGCTAGCCAATGCCCCATTTTAGAACAATCTCTAAGAACGGGACAACTTGTGACCGTTGAAAATGGCCAAAAGGGGCCTTGTTTAGATCTGTCAACCTTATCACCTGGTATAACACAACTCCTTGTGATGCTTTTTCACATCTGTCGTTTTCAGAGTTATGTAGACTTATGTCAGGAGCGGATTTGATTATTTTGGAAGGAATGGGCAGAGCAGTTCATACAAATCTCTACGCGAAATTTAATGTGGACAGTGTAAAACTAGCCGTTTTAAAAAATGATTGGTTGGCTAAGGGTTTAGGAGCACAACAATTTTCAGTTATTTTCAATTATGAGACAGCAACTTAACTCAAGTGACCTGTGATCAACTTAGATTAAGAAATTTCATTTTTGCAGAACTTTTTCACTGATAGTGATCAAATGGGTTGTTACATTCAATAGAAAGTCTACCTACTGCCACCCAAATGTTTAGTGAAAGAAAATAAAGTTGTGTCAATTTTGAAAATAAAGGTTTTTTATTGCATTTTCAAAAATTGGCACCCTCTTCAAATGAACGCTCTCATTGGCCAAAAATTCAAATGTGACATTTTCAGTTCAATTGTTTTTACAATTTTGATTTTTTTTAAATAAATTAACAAGTCACAATTAAATGAATACGTGTGGATAAACATTGGTTAAGACATTTATGTTGATTTATTTGAGGCGCAATTATAGTAAAACATTTCAAATTATTTTTCGCTTGATAGATCCGTCGAAATTCAAAACTTCAATGACACGTTACGTCATGGCTTCTGTCATGTGTCAGGTGTTGTTTTTTTAACCGTATATTAATTACATTTCAAACGATACAAACACATAATGGCGAAGATTTTAGCGTTAGTGAGACTGATTATGTGATATCGTCAATTCATAGTTAGTGTCTTCCTACTTACGAAGGTGAGTACACATAACCTTATAATTTTAATTGACTTAATTTGTTGTAAACTTCAATGAAACGTGTTATGTTAGAATTTGTGATCGATAGATATGGAATTTGCGGAACTCATAGCAACACCAAAATTGGATGGGGTTATTCTACACAGTCCATTCCACGAACCCATTGATGGGACTTTGTGTGTGACAGGTCACCACTTGATTCTTTCATCGCGAAAAGAAGATGTTCAAGAGTTATGGGTAAGTGGTGCTTTTTCTATTTTGTGTTAAATTTTTACACAAATTTGTAGCTTCTACACCAATGTATTGATTCAGTTGAGAAAAAACAAAACAGTAACAATTCCAATCAAAACGGGGGCTCCATCATCCTCAAATGTAAAGATTTCAGAATCCTCCAATTGGATATTTCAAACACTGAAGAACTGTTGAATGTTTACGCTTCAATTGATAGATTATCAAACTTAGATAGGCCTGAATCTCTCTATCCGTTTTTTTATCGCCCCATGTACAACATCCTAGAAGACGGTCACACTTTATTTAAATTGGAAATCGAATACGCGAAATTGTTAGCAAGTGAAGAATGGAGAATTTCACATATCAATAAAAATTACACTGTGTGTCCCACATACAGTGCCAGTGTAATTGTACCAAAATCAATTGATGATGATGTTATTGTGGCCTCAGCGAGTTTCCGAGATGGGGGGCGGTTTCCATTGTTGAGTTATCGTCATGATAACGGGGCGATTTTGCTAAGAAGTAGTCAACCGTTGTTGACTAACAATAACAGGAGGAGTAGAGCTGATGAAAAAATTTTAAATGTGATTTTGGGAAGCGGGAAAAAAGGATACATTATTGACACGAGGAGTACGAATTATGTCAGTCATTGTAAAGGAAAAGGGGGCGGTACTGAACCTGATGCACATTACACACAATGGAAAAGAGTACACAAACCGCTGGATAAAATTGCCAAATGTGATGGAACTCTCTTAGATAGTTTAGCCAAACTTCTAGACGGTACAGATACAAAATCTGTATTTATTATTTTTAACATATTTTTTTAGCGTGTAATGATACGAATTGCTCATTTGACAAATGGATGTCTCGCCTTGAGAGCAGCAATTGGTTGAGTTATGTGCAGAACTCGCTCAACGCTGCTTGTCTTGTGGCTCAATGTCTTGACCAAGATGGGGCTTCGGTTCTAGTCCATGGCACAAGTGGCCTTGATTCAACCCTGCTGGTGACATCCGTAGCTCAAGTGATTTTAAATCCCGACTGTCGTACAGTTAGAGGTTGTGTGTCGTTAAACAATTAATAAAAAAATATCTAGTTTTGTTTTTGCAGGACTTCAAGCTCTGGTTGAGCGCGAGTGGTTACAAGCCGGCCACCCCTTCCATTTGAGACACACCAAAAGCTGTTATTCTAATAGTAGAACGAAAAGCCAGCAACCAACATTCCTTTTATTTATCGATTGTATTCAACAGTTGTATTATCAGTTTCCTTCCAGTTTTGAGTTTACAACCCAGATGTTGGTTTTATTGTTTGAACATTCATACTTTAGCCAATTTGGTACTTTTCTTGGTAATAATGAAGCAGAAAGACAGGCTATGAAGATATCGAAGAAAACCACAAGTTTGTGGTCGTATTTGAATAGGCCTGATGTTTTAACATCATTACTGAATCCAATGTATGAACCGAATAAAACAGCAATTTGGCCTAGTGTGGCCCCAGTCAGTATAGTTTTGTGGTCGGGTTTGTACCTCAGATGGGTCATAAATCAAAGTGATTACAAGAAAAGTTTAACAAAAATACAAAACCTCATCGATTATGATAAAAATTTAAAGAGTAAAGCACTGAAATTAAGGAAGGAATTAATGGATCTCCAGAAAGAGTACGAAAAGTTGAAAGTTGACTTGGGAGAGAATAATAACCCCGATTCTGATAGCGGATAGTTGTTGATAGACTATGGATTGCTAAACTGTCTAGTCACTATTAAGTTATATTTTATATAAAACGGAAACAGTTATTAGAAATTGAAATTGAAGAAACTTTTCCATGACGTGATTCCAGTTTTTTAAGAATTATCAAGATAAATCAATATTTTTTTAATATTGTGTTCACATTTAATTTCTACAATGTACAAATAAATATTTATGCACTTAAATGTATTTAGTTATTTTTAATCTTATATTTCCTTCGCTTTTTCTTGCCTCACAATTTAATCATTTGTGAAATATAAGGTTGAAATCGCATTCAATTTAGAATGAATCAAATATTGTACCATTATATTTTTTATATTTATTTCGAACGAAAATATGTACGGAAGGTAACATCAAATAAATAATGAGTAATTACCCAACGAGTTTGTTGTTTTATTTAATGAGTCTTGTAACTGAAATAAATTCGGATTTGACCCGAAAACAGCAAATTAATTAATTGCTCTGAACTGGTTTGTTTTTTGTCTTTATTCATCAAATCATTTTATATTAAACACATTATTTAAAATCAGGAAAGTACAATACAGGGAAAGGACAAGAAAAAAGAAAATTATGTAAATAATGTTAAAATTAAGATTGTTTAGTGTACTGCTGGAATTAATTAAAACGATTCAAAGTGATAAATCAATACATTTTTAATAAATTATTAGAATGACTAAATTATTTTTATTTCAATGTTATGCAACCAACACTACGCTTGTGTGTACAAAAACCAGGAAAAGCTTATCTAAAATAAATAATTATACGATGTTGGGCACCATATTTTAAGGTGCCAAATATTTTTTTATGATCAATAGGAATTGGGAACAATATCCTAGTGTTTAAAATAGCAGAATTTTAATAATAACAAAAATGAAGTTGAAGGGTCTCTTAAGGCGTTAGGTATTCTTATATAAATAATGTATTCAAAATATGCTTATTGCATTTTTATAAACGAAAAAAATGTTATTTTACCGTTGTACTAAATAGTTAAGATAGTAAATTTTATAGCTATCTTCCTAAAAATAGAAAATAGGGTTGTAACCCCTAATCGTACTAATGAAGCGTAGCTTTAGACCACCCATGCACCAGATGTTACGCGCCTAACTTAATTGAATTTTTTCTCAAAAAAATTCAGCAATAAATAATGATAATTTATAATTGTAATTGTTGGTTCCATTTCCTTGTTCCAACAGTGAAAAGTGTAATATTTTTTGTTAGCGTTCCAGCTCGGTCTGAAAAACAGCCTAGGATGACTCCGCAAGTCCACAATGACAGAAAATCAAATTATCAACGGTTTTCTACCGTGATTCAAACCCCCCTTCTTATTTTTTAGTTTTGTTCCACCTGAACAAGCGTCCTCATACAGCAACTCCCAAAATGTATCCATCGACAGGTGAACACAATAAATTTACCTCAAGCGCGTCACCGCAGGTGTCCCACGGTCGGCGTCCCTCCCCGGCAAAACCCTCTCGGGACGAAAAACTGCCAAAGTCTTTCCTAACTCACCTCGCTGGTCCATGATCCACATATTATGCAAATTTATTCCGCCCGGTGAGGGTGCCGCCGGTTTGGGGTCTCTGCACAAGAGGGGCTTCCAAGCAGACGTATGTTCAAGGCTGTCCCACCACATTCTTCACCGACCGTTGCTAGTTCTTAGCATGGAGTGGCTGCATCTTCCTTACAAAGCGTTAGAACAATAAGAAGAAGAGGCGGTTAGGCCAACTTCAAAACGGATAATTTATTACAATGGAGAGGTAGCACGTATTGGCGCCGCCAATGAAAATTACGACTTGAAATCAGATTTTTTTTCAAATAGCTTCATGCAATCTCAGTTCTTCAATTGTACTAACAGCAATTAACTAGGAAAAGTTTGTTGACTCGATTAATGAATTGCAAATTAAATTTTCTGGTTTTCACAATTTATAAATAATTTTTTTTAAAGAAGTTGCAATTTCCAACAAGTCCCAGGCAGTCAAATATAATTGCAATGATAAATGATAAGTAACAAGAATTTTTTCTATATAATAAATAAACTTTTTTAAAGGAGGCGGAAAGTTTATTTTTCCTCTATCAGATAGATGCGAGATAATAAAAAGCAGTGGCGGCTCGTGGTCGCACTACATAGAATCATTTCAAATGTCAAACAATAAATTAAAACATTGGTTCATTATTACGTGTAGTACAAAAAAGTACTCCTAAAAAATTAGGTTGCTTTAATATTTGAAGCCGTTTTAAAAAAAATTCTTGAAGAGCGTCCGTGGGCCGCCACTGATGATTCAGTGTGGCCCCATTAAAATTCATTTTTTCTTCAACAGCGGAAAATATTTAAATTACCTTGAGGTCGTGGGTAATTAACAAAATGAATTCTTTATTCTTGTATGAGTGATACGAGAGCAGCGACCTGTATTTTTTACATTTCCAGTTTAAAGACTTGAAATTATTTACATCGAGAGTTATCACGACAAATTACATAAAATTCCAGAGTCAGGAATATTGTTGCAAATGCTGCAAGTTTCATGAAACAAAAGATGTCTGTCTAGGTGAGTTACAGACTTGTGGGAGTGTTTCGAGAAATATTTCATTACCCGCCCCCACGTACTCAACGCACGCGGAATTTAATGCGAAAAAAGTTGTAATAAATTCTTTATTGGAAAATTTTGTAGTAAGTCGTGTTGTGTAATGAAAATTGAAGGATCTTCGGTTTTTAATTTCCACTTTTCTGAAAATTGTTCGTTATGAGTCAATATTGACAGCCATGAGTAGTTATTATTGCAACGAAAATTGTCGTGGAAATTCCATTTGATTAAGAAGTCGTGAAAGCATTTATGTAATTGGTAAATTATTATTGCTTTTTTAGTTGGTTTTATTTTAAATTTATAAGAAATATGAATATTTAAAAAAATTATTAGAATATTGAATTTTTTTGCTACATTTTTTTCCAAACGAAACTGAGTTACCTTTTTACACAAAGGTACCATTTTGTAGCGATTCTTTCAATCGTTATCTTTACTTGAAATACCACTCGTCATACCATGCTTTTAATTAAGTGGCTTATGGTTTTTGAAATTAAGTTTGCAAAATTGAAAAATGTAGAGACAGAAGTTACGAGACTTGTTAAGTTTTATATCTTCTATTTCTAAGTTATCCAGTGTTGCAAACCTAAACTTCGAATAACATATTACATATTTAACTGAAAGCATTGTAGAAATTAAATTTAATAAAGTAACGCTTTACAGGGTGCGCCAGAATAGCGCCCCAGCGAAAAATGTTAAATGCCGGCGGCAATAGGTCGCCAAAAAGTACAGTCGAAGGAGTAATTTTTGCTTGCATAATAAAGTTGTTAGACTCTTAAATCCACCAATCCCAGAAGGACAACTCAAGGGGTGATTGAAAAATTATATCCGTTGCTGGGTTACAAAAATAATATCAATTTGCCCAGAACTTTCAAAAAGTAGCTAGTTTACTGTAGAGTTATAGAATTCTAGTTTATAGTAAAATCGTTTTCCTAAGACCTACTAAAAATTTTATGACACATTATAAGGGATTAACCAAACAATGGCTTGAATTTGTAACCCTCCATAAATGCCACATTCCTTTGCAACTGTTGCTGCACCCACTAGAATAAAACAGGGGCGTATTTAAAACTAAAGTAGTGGTACAGTTTTACCAAGCTACCATTAAAAAAATCAGCTTTATTTAATAATAGCGTGTTAATAATCACCTGGCTTTTTTAAATTTCTTAAAATACTTGACTTTAATAACAACTACATCAAAAACTATTAAAACATTTCAAGTATTTTAGACAAATAGAAAGTAAGTAATCCGGCCCTGCTAAAAACTGACATGTTTCAACGTCCGGGTGGGTTCCACTAATTTATGATTTGTTTACCCTCTGGTTTACTCCTAATAATACCGCATTTAAGTTAAACGTAATAAAATTTTAGTAGGTCTTATGAAAACGATTTTACTTTACTATACTTTTGTCATTTATTAATTTCCTATTATGTGGGTGACTTAACACGTTAGTTTCCAGTATTTTTCTCGCTGAAGAGGGTGTACACGAGTATAATGAGACCGAATCGTTAATTATCAATAATTAACAAAAATTATTTTGAAAATTTGATTCCCAAAAATTCTGGAAATTCCAGATGAACCGACTTCTCTAAAACTTATAATTGTTTTTTCACAGGTATTGTTCCTTGTCAGAAGGAACAAAAGTTTTAGAGAAGTCGGTTAAATATCTTAATAATATCGAATCGACGAATAATGGTAAAAGACTGATTGAACTGAAATAAAAAAAAAAATGTTTGCCGACATGAAAGAGACAATAATTCCAGGAATCCTGGAACTTAAATATAGGAAATCGCCAAATTACCAAGTTTTATATTTATACTTATAAAAACGTGCCGTTTGTCGGCTTGAAGGGTAAATTTCTAGGAATCACCATAAACATTATTCACATAAAAGGCAGTAGGTGCCAATTATTATTAGAACACTCGGATCTACATTAATCTTTTTTGTAGTGCTTATGTTGAGTTTTATTTAGAAAGTAAAATACAGGCTGTTTCTGTAGCAAAAAAACTTGGAAAATTATTTTTGCAACAGAAATGGTCAAAGTGCAAGATTTAACCTCCCATAACTTTGAAATTTTTATAGATAGAATTTTATAAACATTTTTTCGATGTTTCTAGTCCTTACATGTCATTTTCCTCTGGGGCGCGAGTTCTGGCGCACGCTCTATATTATTATAAATAATGGTTTTATTCCAATAAAAAAGTATTAGGACATGAGTTGTTGTTATTTTTATAAAAATATGTTTTACCTTTAATAAAAAATTAAGACTAACCAAAGAATTCATATTTTACTCTTAAAATTAAGGTACGAGAATGGCTCTAACTCGTATGTACCTCGTAAAGACATTTAAAATTCTGGTACCTTTACGAGAATTCTGGGACGTCTGGCAACACTGCTGGAATTAATATTTTAACATCATTTGACAAATTTATGTTATTTATTATAAAATAAGTCTGTTGGGAGGAAAGTTTTGTATGCACCTCTGGAATAAACATCGTTAATTCCTCCCTACATAATATACCTACCTACATTTTCGGGTTTAAAATAGTTAGATGCATAAATAACTAGTTATTAGTTAACTAAAATAACTTGGTTTTCTTAGTTACCTTTTATTGTATTGACATTGTTATATTTTAAAAATTAGAAATAAACTGTAAAAACACTTTACAATCCGCAAGAAAGTCGAAATTTGTCAATTTCTTAATTTTTATTCTTATTTTCAATAATTTTTCATAAATTTAAGTTACATAAATGATTTTTTTTTTAAATAATGTAGGTAAGTTTCCAGATTCAGATTTAAATATAACTG